ATTCCATAACAGCATTACTTCAGGTTTCAAAAAAGAAATGTTATAGTTAATGAAAGAGCAAAAATCCCTGCAACATAACCAAAATGAGAAGCCAGGACCCTTCACCAGCATGGGTATACATACAAGATGCGATTCACGTCACTTCAGGTGCTCACGTTCCGTATGGAATTGCCCTAGAGCTCTGAAACCTGAATAAGGTCATTCATAGTCACTGAAAGATGTATTTGAAACATCTCCTTGCCATTCAGCCTGCTGACCACTAGCTGTCCCCATTGCTTCACAGGAGTAAAGGACCAGGGCTGGAACAGGAACAAACACACCTCCAAAAACGAGTGCTCCTGCTCTTAGGGGACAAAAAGCAATGAAAGCTCAGAAAACTTGGAAGGAGCTACTACAGTTCTGTAAGGCTGTAGGTAAGGAAACGGATGTGTAGGAGAAGATCTGTATCCCGAGACAGATCACCATGGAATTTGCTTAGGATGCAGTCTTAGCAAATCTATGGCTCTATGCCATGGCAAAGAAAAGCTCTGGAGACTCATAGAGCAGAACAGGAATAATCAAAGCGGACTATAGCATTCCAATGTTCCTGCCTAGTCCCTGACGACAGCTGCACACCGTCATCTCCACTATCTAAGATAATGCCACCTTAGGAGATGTTTTCCCAACCAGTATATGGTGGGTGCTACTTCCTAACCTCTGAATATAGAAACTACTTAAATTTGGAACTAGAAACATGAATCCCAAAGAGGCCATAGGGGGAAGGTGCTTTATGCTTATTTCAAACCCATGAAGTTCTTTCCTCTCGTGAGAATTCAGGGCAGTTTCTCATTTCCATTCACCTTTTGGCATCTCAATATGAGCCCAGAACACAGAATTGTCACTGTATTTGTTAGATCTACAAGATCTTGGATTTGGTCTCTTCACAAACCAACTTGGAGAAATATCATTTCATATTGATAATGTGTACGATTTATCATCACATAATAGAAGCTATTGAGAAGCAGAATAATATTTTACAAGGCCATTAATTCCACCTAACTGCTTTTGTAGCCTTAATGCTGCTACTCACAAAAGAATGATGGAAGACATATGAAAATATATGCTTGAGAAGACAGTTTGAATTTGGATGCTATTTATTGCTTTTTGTTCAGCCTTTGTTAAAGCAGACCTATTATCTGCTCTGTAATATTTGCTCATAAAAATCAAAGACAAGGCAATGTCATTTCTAATGTGCCAGGCCTGAAGCACATCGCTCCAGCCAGCGAAGCTGCTAATACATCATCCAAGGGCTGTTGTCACTCAAGTCAGTTATTCAGACTATCACCTACCCTTTTCATTGCTACATTAGAGCAAGCAAAGATGAGAAGGGTAGGAAAGCTTGACATTACTATATCCTTCAAAGTATAGTTACAGGAAAACATACTCAGGAAAGAGAGACAGGCTCCTGCTTTGTTACTCCAGGCTTCTGCTTAGGTAGAAACTCTCTCCTGCTCGGCAACCATCGCTCCTGCATGTAAAAGCATAATGCACTAAACCAGAATGTTTGTAAAGAGCTTTATTCAGAACCACAAAATGCAATTCAGAGTTCTCAGTGTAGGATCACTGGTAAAATAATACAAAAAGTAAAAAGTTTTTAAATTTCACCAAGTTGGAGAGGAAGAGTTTAGAATTTAAAATATATTGACAATTTCCTTTAAAATGGGCTACAATCCTGAACCAAAACTCATTTTAGTTTTAGCTCCAACTTCTGAACTTGCTGTATGTGGTATCAAGGTACATGGAAGTCTTGGGCATCCAGTGTGCCACCAGCTACCTGCTGAAGGCCTGCTGAAGGAACTGAATTTTTCACCTGTGAATGTGCCGTATTAGTGCACTGACTTTAAGATCTATTTACCAAAAGTAGCAGCACCAAATACTGCACACCTATAGTACTGCCTACACACACTTTACAGATAGAACAAACAACTGAAGAAGCTTCTGAACTGTTTTCTCAGAAGCTTTGACTGAAGAATGGCACATTTATAAAGGGTTGGGTATACCTATAGACTGCTCTTTCCAAGATGACACCTCTTACTAACACATATTCCTGCTATAAAGTATGAAAAGCAACTCAAATCCAAACCCCTTTATACTTTGTGTTAGAGAACCTATGAAAAGATTTAGTTTAAATGAATTTTATGAGCATGTGATTGTTCACATACCCCAGCAGTTAGAAAACTTCTAAGTCTAAAGACTGTGGTTCAACAATGATACAAATTAACCCTTGGACTAGCTAAAAGCAAATTACTTGCTGAAATCAGCCCAACTCATGGTACTTGAGAATCCCATGGAAGCTGTTTCCTGCTTTGAGGTCACAGCACGTGGCCAGAGGAGTAAAGTATTGTCAGTTTAACAAACATAGATTGTAAATTTCTTTCTTTTAGCATTACGAAACAAGAAAATAGTCTTCTTCCATGCCAATACATACACATATTGAGTGAAAGCATCAAACGGTCATAATTACTATTTTTTTCTAATAATCCTGAATAAACTATTTTACTACTTTCAGTAGCTTCAGGAACCAAATTATACCACTGTGAAAAACTAATCAGTGTTTCCCATGTAACAATGCTGTAGTAACATAGAGAATGAACACATGGCTATGGCCTGGTCTACCCAACATTCCTGAACACGAGAGAATGTGGATCAGGATCCAGGCTACGACACACAGCCTGTCTGCAGTGTTTGTGCTGGGGGTGGATTAGGCAGCAGGAAAAATTTAGTTCAATGCAGGTGATTAGACTGTTTTTCAGGCAGCTGGAGGGCTACAACTACTGTAACCATAAAGGAGCAAACGATGCTTCTTCTTCTAGCTGATTTATTGGTACACCTGCATTCAGGTGTGGTATAGAAATGCTTAAAAGGACCAGTTCCCAACAGTTTTGAAGAGGAAGAAAGGAAATAGAAATCAAGTTACAACAAAAAGCTGTAAAGAATCTAACTATTGCAACAGCCTGAAGTTGAGAGCTAGCAAGCAACCACATTGCTCTGAATAACTGAGAAAGGGAGTGAAACACTCCAGTTTAAAGCAAAAAAAGTATCTATGGATTATGTGGCATTTAAATCCCATTTCTTTGGTTAGCTACAGACACAGGCTGTGTAGATGCAGCTAATTTGGAATTAGACCAACATGATTTATTTTGTGATCTAGAAGAATGAAGTTGAATTAAGCTGTTCAGATACATGATGTGCTGATTAATGACTCCCCCATATTGGAAGGGTCTGTTCCAGTAGCTGTGCTAGTCACTGTGAATGGCCAGCTGTCACAGATGTGTAAACTGCAACTGAATAAGCTCACATATGCAAGAAGGAACAGTTTCTGCCAACTTCCCCCACCTAGTGCTTTCTAAAATACCTTTCAACAATGCTGCTGGCAAAAACACCATCCCCAAAAGCTCACAAGAAGAAGTGAAAGAGCACAAATTTTACCCAGTAGGAAAAACTTAAAACACTCAAAGGAGACAGCCTGTGCTGCTCCACTTAGCCTTGAAATGAACAGGCAGAAAAGGGGTTTCCACAACCACAGTCACAACCCATCTTGTGAGCACAGCCAAAGCATTCTCTCACAAAAGGTGGTGCCAGGTGTGAGAAGTGATTTTTTCCTCCTGAGAACCAGGAGGAACCTGTAAGTTTAAATGGTGCTAAAGTGCAAAATACTCTGAGAGACAAAATACACCTCTGAACAAAGAAAAACCTCATTATACTTTGCACCTGTTTAAGACAAAAAACCCTTGTAACAAGTTGGTTCATTAATAAAGGTGCAATTAAGTATCACATCATTAAAGGAACAGGAATGAAAACAGGAAAATCTCATTAAGAGACAATGCTGAGGGATCTACATCTTGAAAAAAAACGAAATCAACACTTTCTCTCCTGGCTCCTGCTTATAAATAATCTCACAGCAATTTGTTCCTTACAAACATGGGGCTGCTCCCGAAAGGGACGAAATAGCTTGTTTTGAGCTAAAAAGCTAGGATGTGTTCCTGTATTTCTAGGAAAAGGTGCTACTTATTGTGAACAGGCACAGCAACCAGAACAGAACAACCTTTAGGGAAAACTACCACTCATTTCAATATCACAAACATGACACAAGACACAGAGAAAGTGACAAATTCTGCATTCTCCCAATAACAGATTCTCTTTCTGTTAACATTGGAAGGTCGAGCAGAGACACTTCAATCGCTGTGGCAAGCAGCCAGCTCATGAATAGGCTTGCTAACATCAACAAGACTTTTCCTATGAACAAATGCTCAAAATGACTATGAGACTTCTTGTATATCCTTTGTAATGTTAAAATCAGCAGGATTACAGCGGTTTCCAAGTGCTCTCCCACACAGACTAAGAGCTGAAGAAGAGGGCTCATGTAAGAAACTGTGTGAAAGCTGCAGTTAAAGACTGAACTGGTCCTTAGTTTTCCAGTTTAAAATAATACAGCACCTTGTAAAAAAAGAACTACCAGCCCAGCAGATACCAGGCTTTAACTCACTATAACCTAGGGCTACATTCTGATATGTATTCCTCAGGAAAAAATACTACTCCTTCTGCCTGAATAGTTACTGGTTAACTACACACACAACTCTGCTTGAAGACCACGAGATTTCAAACTGCATTCAAAAGTACAGAACCAGGATAGTGATACATAAAGGATCTGTGAGAAAGGAAGCACTAGACCTAGCAGCAAGGTGGGGTTGCCTGCATGGTCAGCCCTTCATTTGAATGCAAATGTAATTTTGGGGCAGGCAGTTATCTGTGACATCAGGCAGGACCTTAGTAAACTGTTACCAGCAGCACCTGGTAAAACCATTGTTAATCATGTGTAGTAAAGGGACATCAGGGCTAGCATGAGTCATTTATAGAGCCAGTCAGGGCTAGAAAAGAGAGAAAGAGGAGGGGAAGAGAGATCAAACACACACTGTGAGGAGCAGGATGTCCCAGCAAGACAAAGCCAGGCTGTGAGCATCATGTATGTGAGTTACCTTTTGGATAAAGAAACCAGCATGTATCCAGGATCTGCAAGGTGCAGCAGCAACAACCTGCCAGTGCAAAACTTTGTGTCTACTCCGTCTTATCCGGATTACATGGGATACCATCATGTGCCAGCTCTGGACACCCACAGCCAGCCTGCGGGAACCTGGGGATCCCACTACGGCCCACAGAGGGAGGACTGGAACGCTTATGGCCCAGGACCTTCCAGCACAGTTGCTGCTGCTCAGATCAACAGCTCGTCTCCTGGACAGGTCTCCTACACTTCTGCTGATTACAGCTCCCTCCATCCCGCTGGATCTGGGGGGTTACCTCCTGTAGATACAATTAATACACAGCAAATCTCTCCCAACAGCCAAAGGCATAGCTCTTATGAATGGATGAGGAAAACGGTGCAATCCACTTCTACAGGTAGGAGAGCACTGAAGTTTTATGCTGAGAAGAGATTTTGCTGCTTTTGCATTCTTTGGGTGTTTTTGCCAGGTTCCCTGTTCAGAGGGAAGTGTCCAGTGTAACAAAGATAGATCCTAATTGTTCTGAAGGATTCTTTTGCTAGCAGTTAAATGTTGGTTCAGTTATTGGATGCTGGGTTTGATCTGCTGACTACTTACATTTCATGCTTGACCTTTAATGCTGAGGCAAATGCAAAGTCATTATTGGTACACCAATAATGTGTATTTTCACTTCAGAAGTATTTTCACTTCAGAGATGTTAAAAAAAATCTGGTATCAAATAACTGCTTTAAATAGGAATCCTATCGCTTGGAATGTAGCAGCATGTCTGCAGAAAGAAATCATGATAAAAGTATTGTATTTTACACCACCTATACTTTGCTTATTTTCCTCAACTTTTAGAAATATTTATGAAAACTTCAAGTAAAATATACATAGTAGGGGGCTGGAAGTAAGGCTTCATATTCGAAACAACTTCTCTAAACCTCAGAACACTGAAATGAGATCTGCAAGATCAAACAATGAGTCAATGCTCTAAACCCAGGAGTGATAAGGAAAACTTTGCTTCACTCAGTAGTAGTAACTCTCAGGATATGCAAGAATAGAGATCCCTGGTAACAGAATCAGTTAATACAGCCACAGCTCAGTCTCCAATGTGTAAGTCTTCGATTGCATTTAAGCAGTAAAAGTAAGTCACGAAGCAAGAGGAAAAGGTTATTTTTTGACTGTCATGAGGAACAACAGAAAATAGAGAAACATAGAGCATCCCTAAATCAAAAACCTTAACTTGTATGAACAGGGAAAAAAAAAAAGAAACAAGACAGGGGAGAAAGAAAGGAAGGAAAACTGCCTGAAAACAACAGAGGCCCAATCCGCTATATAACAGTATTTGATCCTCTGAGGTGCTGAGCAGTTTTGCCATGCATTGAGATCAGTAGAAATTAAGGCTGCTCAATGCCTCCCCTAAAGAGATGCTCACAGTATTCCAGTGTTACATCCCAGGAAAGTTCCTTTCCTTTCAGCCCTTCCTCTTACCCCAGCTCTGTTCCACACATGCCTGTAAATAATAGTTTTCAAAGCAAGCACTGAATCAATCTCTGATGGAAAAGCAATTGCTTAGAACAGACTTAAGTAAAATGAAAGCAACTGTATAGAAAAACTGTCTGTATTAAAACAGTGCATCTAATTTCTATGGACAGACCGAGTTATCCTCAATCCTGCTGCACAGAACGTCAGCTCAGAGCATCCACAGAAGTGAACAGGACAATCAGAATAGGTTGTTACTCTGGGTGAATAGACTTTTGGGGTGGCTGAAGCAGTAGGTATTTTAAAACCAAATTTGTTCTTCACTGAATACTCTGAGCAAAGACAAAAGAGGTTGGTCTTATAAAAAACAGTTTACTTTTGAGTAGCCCTTACAAGAGCAATGGAACTACTCACAAACAGAGATTTACAGATGGCAGAACACTTGCTCAAAACCCCCCAGCCTCTCATTTCTTCTTTCCCCACCTGCCTTTTGCTCCTGTGGATTTAAACTGCAGTCTTTCAGAAAAAGGACTTATTTGACCTGTCTGTGCTGTCCCTTTTCTAGCAGGGTGGACACACTGTGAAATAGATTTTTTTATATATATATATACATATACATACAGAAAATAGACAATACCACATTCTAACTGCCTGCTGTCTGCTCAAGAAACATGCTTAGGGCTTCCTGACCTTCCAAATGTCAAGCCTGCACAGGGCAGCGCATTCACAGGAAGTGTTGGGACTCTATTCTGGAATGGGTCAACAAGACATTGAGCATCTTCATTTCAGGAAAAGCTGAAGAAATCAGCATGTCATAGTAGCATACACTCCCAAATGCCCAAGGCCATCATAAGGCCCTCTGAAGTTAGTGGGAGCCTATCATTCATTTAATGGCTACTGGGTCGTGCTTTAGGGAAAATCCCAGATAAGGAATTCTTCTGCTGCTTCTTCCCCTCTTCTTGTGATTTGCTAGGCCAGGAATGCTCAGTGCCAATAGATCTGTTTCACTGAAGTCTGTTCCTTTTACTGGATCATGATCAAACCCCTCAGCATTTTCTTAGATGGAATTTTCTACTCCCTAAGGCTATATGCACACACTAAGCACTACCCTTTTGTCACTTTGCAAACCTTCAGGAATGTCAGTAAAGGTCTTGTATAGGCAAGAGTGAAGAAATCACACCTATTATTATTAGCTTCTGTTAGTCCCTGTAAATAGATTTGAGCCACTATTCTTAAGGATGGAAGAACTGAGGCTCAGACTTACCTGAAGTGATCAGAACAGAAATTAGACACACTGATTTTATTATTTGTTCATTACTTGTTGCAAAATACTATCAACAATAATAATAATATCTCATTATGGAAACAATGATTATTAAGGCAAGTGATCTCTACAAGGTATCTTGGAAGTGTGCTAGAGATGTTCCTGCGCTCTCACCCTTTTAAGATCAGTATGGATTCTTTCCAAAGGTTTACTTACATTGAGTAGTCTGACTTGTAGCAGCTACAGAAATAAGATCCAGAACCAGTGATGTTTCCATCTCCAGAGATTTCATGATTTATCTTCTCCTATCCGTCCTTTGTGGCCTCAGGACCTGACAGATGACAAACAAAACACTTGATTGAAATTGCTGCCACTGCCTCAGGCCCTCCAGGTCTTTCAATACTCTGTTACCTACACCTAATCTGGAACAAAAAAGAAATGGTTTCAAGTCTTACTCTGCAACTTTAAATAGAATATCTATTGTAAAACCATGCCTTCAACTGGTACTCAGTGAAGGTTTTGAGGTTATGCTACTTGAAACTGGAAGATCTCAGTATTTAATGCCAGACTATCATCCTGGTTTAGCATTACAGGCATACATTTCCCACAGAAAAGATCTACTGAGGCTTTCATCCATCACTCTCTCTGTTTGAAGAATGTCTGTTTCTCCCTGTAACTTTGGAACTGGAGGGACTGGGACTTGATCCTAAACACAGTGCAGGTAGGATCTTAATGCTTAGTCACTGCATTCTTGAAGGTGCGCAGGATAGAGGAGAAAGCAAACGTGTTTTGACTCCAAACACATGAAGGAGGAAACACTGATTACTTAGTTTTCAACCAAGAACACAGATGGGAAAAGACCCTTCTCTAACCCTTACACTGCTCCTGTCTCCTCTCCTAAAGCCCCAGTTTGACAGAGCAAGCAAAGCCAAGACAACCTGTCATTGTAACAGAACAGAACAAAGCCACAACAACTGCATGTTTGAGGTGGCAATTCCACACACACAAAGCATAATTACAAGGAAATTCCTTAATGGAGAGTAGAATAAAATCACCTTAGAACAAGTTACAAATATCTTCCTTTGATTTCAATGCATTTATGGAGGTCTGCAATCACTGACACAGGAGTAAACTTTACTTTTTGCCTCTGAGAGAAAACAACATACATCTGTGGTAAACCGGTGCCCAAAACAATAAGCTGGAGCAGTTAAGTACCAGGCAGTTCCAGCAGCAATGAGAAGCTGCTCACAAAGCTGAAAGTACATCTTAAGAACTGCACTTCTGTGACCATAAAATAGGGAGGGAACAAGTTTTGAAACAGAGGTGAAGTGATTATGAGCAGAGGCTTTTCCCATAGGTGACAGCTCTCCTATCTTTGTCGTTCCATAAAAATAGCTCTGCAAGCACAAGACAGTTTTTCTGATGATGATGGTAAGCGCTATAGCATCAGCACCAAATGTCCTGCAAACATACAGCATGTAGTCTTTGAAGAAGTTATATTCTCTCAAACCTAAGGAGGAGAAGCAAGTCTCTTAAGAGGCTGTTCCTGCAAAATGCTGAATGCCTGAAGAATATACAACACTTTGAAAAACATTCAGTTATTCATTTGCTTTTTAGTCTATACAGTCCTTGGCAATGGTATTTCCCCCATCTTGCCACTTGGAAATCCACCTGCATCTTCTGCCAAACAAAATCCATCCAGGGAGATCTGTCCAATCCTTGTTTAAAGGTGATAAAAATGACTGCTTTAGAGTCAGTTATTTCTGCATGATGAATGCAAAAATTTACACTAGCAAAGTGCAAGACAGAATTTGGCCAATGAGCTTTAGTACAGAATAGTAGAACACATTCAAAATTGTAATCATTAGCATTTAGAATAGAAGTCAACAGAAGGGAAGGGAAAATTCTTCATGTCTATGGAAAGGTCCCAATTCTGTGATCCTATTCTGTTCTCTTCAGCATGGGTTCTCTGGACACGTGTAACAGGAACAAATGTAGAAAATACAGAATTTCACCATGTTTCACACACCTTTATTCACCTAACTTTGTAATAATATCAGTCCTACTCATGGCACCAGCACTCCTGGCAGGAATACTGTCACTCGTGTTACACAGGTTGGACCAAGTTCACACTAGGGCAGCCTGGTGTGGTTTGGTTGAGGATTTATCTGATGTAACTTTACAGAACATCACATGCAGAACAATGTCCATCTTCAAGACTTATTTAAAATTACTGTTGCTTCACAACTTCACTTAAACCAGTGAAGTTACACTAGGGAGAATTTGCCATTTCCCTACACTTCCAAAGTGCTTAAATATCTAGAGAGATTCCCAAAACAAAACTGGGGCCTGATCTCTGACAGTCCATATCTATAAACTCAAAAACTTAACACTAATCTCTTAACAAACATCAAGATGCAGATGTGAACTGAGCATGTCTTCAGGCCAGGCAGCTGATTCATGTTTTGAGCTGACTTAAGCAAGCTTCCAGTCCTCAAGTACAGACATTAACTTCCTCTGAAACATTCAACCACAGAATCCATATTACAATCCTTTGTAAATAACCCAACACCATCTAATGTTATTCTACGCTGGGACATCTATCTAAAGTAGGTAGAGCTTCTGGATTTTAGGAGGTAGATGAAGAATATTCCTGAAAAGCTAAGAGTGGAGGCACTAGAAAGAGGCCAGGGCCAGTTCTGATGCTAATTTATTTTGCTTTGTAAACTAGTTGTGAGGTCCGATGGTGGAGTTGGGTTTTTCCCCCCCTTTCCTGGCTACATTGTCTGAGGTTTTGAGGCCTATCTGTCATATTGATGCAACAGACCCTTTTAACACTTCGCTTTGCTTTGATATGCAGTCTTGTCTCTTCCTTCTCCCTCTTTTCTTCAGGAGTTATATTGCCGGAAAGGGTGATGATTTTCACAGCAAATAAAGAGGCCTTCTCCCAGCTTTATTGTCTTCAGAAGAAATGCTCTGTGAATTTTATGACCAATGGGAAAGCCGTTCCCTTCCCCCAGCTCAAAACTTGGCCAGTCACAAAAATTGCCAGAGTGGGTGTGATAGAAGAGGATTGTTAAACTGTAGCTCACGACAAGTTTCCTAAGTCTGAAATGTCTCATTTCTTGTCCCTCCAGAGGCAATAGTCAATAGTCTTCAACAGTCACTGTTTGTAAAATAAGAGTTCTGACAAACTCACTGTTCTCAAGCAGCTCATCAAGCCCAGGAAGTCCACACCCCCAACACAAAGGCAAAGGTGCTGCTTCAAAGCTCTTTTGTTTCATTTTTCTTCCACCCAAATACCACTAACCTCTCCAGCCACTTGCAATTCCATAGTATCTGCTCCTGATAGAACACATTTCCAATAAAGCAGACACTATATTGCTGATTAAAATAATGTCACTAACAAAAGATTAACCCAGATTATAGGAAGTGATACGCCGATAGTTTCAGTCACCCAAGTGAGTAGGATTTGACTAAAGAATTGGATTAAAATATTAACTTTTATCATTGCATCATTAAATTCTGCCATTAGCTCCTAAAGAAGTCTGAGAAGTAAAGAACATCATTCTGCTGCCTCTGATGAACCCATTAGTCCCACCTTAAATTTTGCTCAGGTAATACTTCTGGAAATAAAATGCATCACTGTAAATAAGACCAGTAGAAGATTTGTCTCAGAAGGCAGCAGAGTGCCTCTATTCCATCCTACAGATGCAATTTAGAAGCTAAAGGACTAAACTAGAGATAGCTTTTGTTGCTGCTGTTTGTTAACTTTGGCAAATAAAAATGTACTTTGCCTTTGAAAGGAGATGCCATATGCAGCCTAATTCCAACCCAGCATCCAACAAAGGCATTAGGAAGACTCTCACTGCCATCAATGACGGTTTGCGTAAAGGCCTAACCGTCTAAAACAGGTCTGTGCCAATATAAAAGCATCCTCTGGAAGACTCTGTCAGGTCTCAGCTCCCACTGGCTGTTGTCTCCCTACACAAAAGAAATCAAACTATTAAAGACAAGATTTATGTGACAAATCAGAGAATTTTCTCAGATCCTCACTGACTTTCAGGAAGGAAATGTTCTCCTTTTGCCTTTCTACTTTCTGAATTGTTCTCTTAACTTTCTTTAAAGAAAGTAGATGTGAAAGCTCCCAATCTTCCTTCAAAAAGAAACCAGATATTATATTCTTTACTAAAAATAAACTGAAAGCTACTCACACACAAACAAAGGATTTGATGAGAGAAAGCTCTGTTTTCTACATACATTTAATTTCTTGTTCAGTTAAAAAACCAAAAAGCCCAGCCCTCTCATGTTCAGATAAAAGGGGTTAAAGCATTTCAAACCAGAAACAGGAAGGCTTAGCCTGAAATTTACTGTCTTGTTTTGGCAATAGAAGAATATTCTGTATTTGTCTATGGCTTCTGAATGAGAACAGAGTTCAAGATAAGATCACCTTGTTGCTCTTTTGTGTACTTCAGTTTAACACCACAAAGGAGACCAAGGAAACATTTTAAACATTTTAACCCATAAAATCATTCCAAATTCTCATTTAAAGAGGGGAAAAAAGCACAACTAAACCATCGGCTGGAGATCAAAAATACCAAGTGAGGCATTAAAGCACCACGGGTGACCATATGTTAAACAAACAATTTACACTTCCAATTAATGAAAACAAATGTCCCGGTATTTATGTGGACTGACCTGAGTAACTGCTCTTCTTCAGAGACTCTCAAATTCTTCCGATAATGTTGTAAAATTAGCAGCACTTTTCACTCGATTATCAGTGTAAACATAATGGGGCTCATTCTGCTTTCACTGCAGTTTTGCAATGACAGAAATGCCACTGGAATGAGAATGTCCTACACATTACATACCTCAGCCAAGCAGCAAAACCTTCTCAGGGAAGGCACAGTGGTTTTGCTTGCATGGTCTCAGCAGAAACCCCAGTGTGAGGAACACACACAAACATGCACACACCTGTTTTCCCCATTGGATTCCCTCAAGCCCACAGCATTGTAAAGGCCTTATTAATGCACAGTGCTTTCCCAGGGATGAACACCATGGAGCACAGAAGCTGAAGGATCGAGTTCTGATACAGACCTTTCTCTACAACCCTGGGAAAAGTCCTACAGAGAGTCCAATAGGGTGACCCAGTTGTTATCCACAACTAGAGGTGTAACAGTATTTGCTCACAGCATCACACTGACCAGGACTTCCAGTTCTAAACAAGTCTGTATTTAGGATCTGCACAAACAGTTCAAAACGAACAGAGCCTGAAGAAGCTTCTAATGCAAGTAATAGCTTTGGAGAGCTAAGAATTCTTCTAAGTAGCTAAGTACTGACTGTCAAATGCTGTAAGAGAAAAAAAGTGATGTGGCTCGAGCCACTACCAGCAAGTGGAAGGCAACATTAGCTTTAGATATGTTCACCTATTGAACAAAGAGATATGACATCTTCCTCCACAGATGGGGGAAAAAATGTTAGCCTGTAAAACCAAACCATGAATCAAGGGATAAAGTACTTTAAGATTCTGCTATAGTTCTGTACACTGAATTCTGATCTTTTCTGATGTCAAACTTCAAAAGCAAGGGGAGTTTGGAGGAGGGGCTGGGGAGAAAGCAGGCTTTTGCCACCACTGATACATGAAACCTCCAGCTTTTCTCTCCCGGAGAGGAACGTGGTTGCTCTGGGGTGCTCTGCTGTGGTCATCTACTCAAAGACTGAAATTTTACTAACTCAGTGCCTGAAAATCCATTCCAGTTCTCTCCATTCAAAATTAACTGTTCTTATGAGGAGCACAATTATTGTAACTCAAAAAAACTGGTTCCTCAAACTTGTAAGCAAACACAAGCTGCTGTATGAAGTGAAGCTGCAGCTGCAGCAGAATGCTTACGCAGCAAGCCACAATATGCCTCGATTTTTATGCATTGTTAGAGAGAACCTTAATCTAAGAGGGCTGTTCTACTGTAGCAACCACTAAGGACACAAACATTCACAACCTCCAGGACCACAGTGGGACATTCAAATATACCAAATGAAAATGCATTCCCTGTCCCAGACAATTTACAGTCTGATCACATACATCTGCAGAGATGTCCATGCAAATACAGACAGAAGCACAAAAAGTGGCAAAACCATGGTTAGCTGAGATGGTAACACTGGTCTTAACACAGCAACGATCCAATCTTTCAGCAATGTAGGAAGCCCTTAGGCTGGGCTCAGGGGCCTTGGCTTTAAGCAGGTGGTGAGCTCTAGTGTATTGATTGCCTAATAGGAACATTAACAAGCCAGGAAAGGGGGGTGAGAGGAAGCACCCATAGCCTTCCCCATCTCAATTCTCTTTCACGGCTCCCAACACATTCTGTTCTCAGAAATTATCCTGTATGGAACCCATAAAATTTCAGCTCCTTGCATCTGTGTTCACTGGCTCATGTCGTTTGCCATTACCTTTAATGGCCAGGGTACTGCTGAGCCACGTCCAAGTCACTCAGCTGTACCCACAGCTAAAAGGATGCAGCAGAATGCTTGCAAAAGAACAGATGCTGTAGCTCTATCATTGTTCAATGTCCTTTGTAAGGCATTTATTGCTTTCTTTTTCTCTTTTCTATTAACTGTCATCTGGAAATCTATGTTACTATCCCCTGTGCTATTACCAAGTTGTGGATAGACCATGCCAGGCTTGAAGGAAAAATACAACCTCCAAATTGCAGTAACAATCACAGTATCATATTAATTTTTCTGGCAACAAGAGGGGAGTAATTCTGGAAGCTCTCAGTATTTCCTACACAGTAAAATGTCCTTCAGAGTTTCCCTTTCAAGCAGGTAGTGGTGTATCAGCTGTAGGGACAGAGAAACCAGAGCAACTCAACACCAGGCAGGAAGCTTGCACCAGAGCTGGGAACAGAACCCAGGTTTCCTGGCTCCTTGTTCTTAGCCAGAACACCTTCCCTCTTCCCAGATGATAAGAAGACTGATAAAGAATATGAGAAGCACTTTATCATCTATTTACTAAGGGGCAAAGCCTAACTGATGGTACAAACCTTCTGTGTTGTAAATTGAGACTGGAGTTACTCTGGGTAAGTGCATAGAGGATCAGGCCTAAAATATCCACAAACATATTTTTCAATATAAAGCCACATATTTTGTGTTACTAAAGTTAAAAACATTCTAGCTTGAAGCAATTTGTTCTTCTTTCAAAACAGGTAAAACAAGAACAAGAGAGAAGTACCGAGTGGTTTACACAGATCACCAGAGATTAGAATTAGAGAAGGAATTTCATTACAACAGATACATTACAATCAGGAGGAAGTCTGAACTTGCTGCAAACCTAAGACTTTCCGAGAGACAGGTAGAGTATGGATCACCCATTCAGGATTTCTTTTGCATTTATGATTGCTGAGGAGGAGATAACCAACCTACTGGTTAAGAACACCAAAATGTGCCTGGCAGCCTTGGTTACACTCAGTCCCAAATACCTTACAGCTCTCACCAGAGCATCAGTCCTGTTCTGAGAAACAGGAGTTTTAAAATATCAACAGAATCCTGCCTTGATTTCTCTCTGGTTTTCTGGGGTAGCTGCAGCAGGGAGAAGGTTTCACTGGAATTTCTAAAGCAGAAATCCTGGTCCTGCTGAAGCCAATGGGAATTCTGTAACTGATCCTGACAAAGTCAGGCTTAGCAGAGAATGGCAGTGAGCTCAAGTATGTTCAGGACACTTGAAGGCATTCATTTCATTGGCTGCCTTTTACTTTTTGTTAAAGACTTCCCACATACCCGCTCCTCCTTTCTCCTGCCCCTATTTCCTCCCATCCCTTCCAGATTCCATTTCTATTCCCACAGTGTAAACCGAAACACAATCGTTTATCATCACAGGATACATATAATTTGTTCTGAAACCACTCAGTGCCCCATTTTGAGCATATGTTCAGTCCCATTTTAATGGGGAGTTCCCTGATGAGCACATTGAAACAAGCATCAAAACAGATCATTAAAAGCTTTACTGAAGGATCCCCCTGAACAGATTTCAGGACACAATGTGCTCATTTGGTGCCTTTGCTATCTGCAAAGCATCACACCACTGGTTGATTTCCCAGTCAGTTATTATTCAGTATCATTCATTGAAGATGATGCCTGATTTCCCATTGATTTATGGGCTCTAATGAGGACAGTACAAAATCCACCCACAGTTGTAGTACTGTTCATCCAATTTGAACTTGTCTGACACAACACACACTGAAAGAGCTCAAGGAAACACAGAAGCAAATACCCATTTTGCAAGTATTTCTCAATCTGCTGTTGAATAGGACTATTTCATTATTGAAAATTAAAATTATTGCAATCAAGTACATATATTGGGAAACACAGCAACAGTGTTTGCAATATTTGCTCTTCATCATCATCAGTATGTCATGAATGAAATTAATTCCAGTCTCTGAAGTCACTATTGAAAATGTAAGATTAATATCTGATCTATAGCCCTGCTACTACCCTTTCATACAAACTGAACAACTCCATCGTATGAGTAGGGCTGAACTCACACTGTTCTGTCCCAAGTCCCACTGCATTCAGCCTAAAAGCTGAAATGAGTTTCTAGAAAAGCTTTTTTCCTGCTTATGCCAGGAAGAAACTCACATCCAAGACACTGGAATGAGTATCTCAAGACAAAAGGACAACTGAACAAGGAAGGAAAGATGTAGTATCTAATGAAGGAAAAGGCAAACCCAAACACTGCTAATATAGCAGGGATGCAGAAATAAAGGAGATGAGGACTAGAAAGAAGAAAGATGGATTTGAGGGGAAGAGTTACACAACTGAACACTGAAAGGAAGGAGGGCAACAGGAAAAGAACAAGTTGGGCAGATACACCTGACTATGTTAGCTTTCAGTCTAGCATTACAGAGCTGTATTTACTTGCAATTCTTTGATAACTGCCACACAACTCTGAAGTGCCTAGTACAGCTCTCTCTGGATCACTGCTGCAGATCTTCATCCCTGGTTTAATAGCAAACCAGAACTAAAGCCTAGATTTAAAGGCAGGTGTGAACACTAAAGCACACATGGCAAACGCATGGGTGAAACCAGGTTACCTCAGCACAAACAGAATGCAGGAGGGCTGACAGTACTTGAGACTGCTTTAATGGAATATAATTTAGTACTGAAATGAGATTCCAGAAACTAAGAGCACAAAATTAACTCCAAATGTCTCAGATGATAGCCTGGGACTTAAAGAGACCTAGTTCAAATTTCCACAAGCTTTGTGTATATCCAATTTCCTCAGCTCTAAAATGGGAATAATAATGCCTTGAGGATAATTGCACCCAGACTGTCCCAGAAACTCCTTAAGGTGTTCTGTGGGACTTCACCAGTGGTTTTCTTTAAAGCACAACTTAGTAGCCACAGACGTTAACACCTCTTACTGTTTTACCTCCCCTCTGAGCATCAATCTTCCCCCCTTTCTAGCTTCTAGCAAAAAGCTACAAATCAGTATTTCTCAGCAAACCACCGATTTCTCTTTGGGTTCTAGAAAATGGTGACAGAAGTGTTTCCTTTGCCAGCCAAACACCTACAAGAAAACTCAACATATCTGAATGAAGTAGCTTGACTTATTACACTGACTAGACACAATATAGACCCACTTTGAAGGACAAACAGCTGGCGTGGACTGCTACAAAGCCATTTCAGTTGCCACAGAATATTCACCCTCTCACATCTCAACAAATTCTGCTGTATTTTCAACTGACCATTACTCATCAACCTCATTTCACATTCTCATTTGTCCTGTCCTAATCAAACTCCATACACTCTTCAACAGTTGCTTCACCTCTCCCAAGGACAACTCTAATAGAGCAGCGACTGCAGTGTAAAGCACTGCACAGTGTGGGAAGCACAAGCAGATTCTGGCTCCATCTAGAAAAACAATAAAAGGCACTTGGCTATTAAGGCACCACTTGGACATTATTTTGAAGTAACATTGTTTACCAAGAGCTGTGCACTGGTGAAATTCTGCTCAGAAGTGTATTTCCATTGGCTTACATACTGGAGCTAAGCAATTCATGTGCAGCATCCAAACAGCAAAGCTCTTGTGCTTCAGTTTATAGGCCAGAAACAGGTTTTGACCTGTAGCTTTTAATATAAAGATACTCTCATATTCTTTTGGCCATCACTGTGACAGATGAAATTGTTCTGTTAGATTGTGTAAAACAAAAGTAAAAACAAAAATCCAAAGCTTACTCCATAAAGAAATACCTTCTTAAAAGTAAAATTAACACTGAAAACTTTATATCAAGATATTGATAAATATTTTATTACCAGACAGGCCAGACTGCGTGTATGAAAACAAACAAGCAGCCCTGGCAAGTGGCATGCCAGTCTGCCACTTACTTTCTCACTGGTACTCTTGCAATTTATTTTGTGACCCCTACATATCTAAAGGGCCACACTGCATTCTATTGGCAACTAAAAAGAATTCCCTTTGCTCCTTTGCAGGTGAAAATCTGGTTCCAGAATCGCAGAGCCAAAGAAAGAAAATTAATGAAGAAGAAAATGACTCATTTTGATGGCAGCAGCCTTGGCTCTATGCAGAGTGACTCTGGCTCAGTGAGCCCAATGCCAGTTCCTGACCAACAGACTCATTCAGAAATGCCCAGTTCTTTATTCCCACCTCCTCCTCCTCCTCCACTTCCCATGAATGGTTTGCAGCACAACGGGAATCTGCAGCAGGTAGTGGCCTCTCAGTAAGGCTGCTGGAAGAGCTGCTATAGAATGAACACTATAAACTACCAGTACATGGAGCACTACAGTATGAGAGGACAGCTGTAGCTGTTTTGCAGGAGTCCCCAGCATGACATGGATTTGTGCACATAAGCTTCCAGGACAGTAAGCCAAGAGCTCCTTGCCAGGTCTGCAGCTCCCAAGGACAATGGAACTGCTGTGTGCCAGGAGCCCTTGCTGCAGGGTACCTCTGCAAGGGAATGCCATGCCCAGCTGTGCCCCACGGCACAGGGAGGGAGGAGAGCCAGGACCAGCTACAGTCACTTGTTACAGGACATAGCAGACAAAAAAGCACAGAACAGGCCCCAGGCAATCCAGCCTTGCTGAGGGCAGCTGTAAGGGGTGTGTAAGGGGGTGCTCTGTCTGTCCCTCACCCCAGGCAGAGACTGTATTCCTTCTCCTTTGATCTCCACACAGGTTCTACATACTCACTTTCATGGACTTTACACATGGCTCTTGATAAATGAAAACCTGGCATATACGTTCTGACCCACTTGATGGAAAGCCGGGGTTGTGGTGGTTGCACTCACTACATGTTAAGGGCAAAGGTCAGGGATGAGCTTTTTGGAATTTTCTGGGTTTGACTGGTATGATTTCCAATGCTCCATACACTGGTATACACATGCACTCCTCAATCTTACCACAAATGTTGCAAAAGCATTCTGGAATTCTGACTTTTGGCCCCAAGTTTGGTTTTGGTGGAAGAAAGACTGTATAAGACTCATTTTGTATCCTACAGGAAAGAACAAAGGGGGGGGGGGCCGGAATCCTGTTAAAAAGTGAAGATACTGTAAAAAGTAACTTCACTTCATGGGGTAGCACAGCCCATGGATAAAGATACAATAATTACATTCAACTGGTTTTATATTCAGTCCACTTTTCAGAACTACTGTGAACCTAAAAATGTCTGAGAAGCAAAAATAATGGAAGACCAAGCACACAAATACTTCAAATATAAGCTCTCAGCAGTTTTTAAGTGGGTCTCAATTCCAAAGGGCAGATCCCTTCCAAATTACGCAGAATTCCATAGGTAACCAGTACTTAAGCATAATCTGGATGCTTACTTCCCAAGATGACTACCAATTGCATGTGCATAACCTGTCTGCAAAGGGAGAATTTTCAGAGCACAAAAATGATTTGGGAATTGATACCCTCATTGTCAAAAACAGTTCAGATATTTAGGAAGCCCATCCTTGCTGATTTTCATCAGGGTGTCCTCCTGAATCTCTGCCACTGTTGCAAATAAGACTTAGGAGCGTTAAGTCCTTTAGGCACTACATTCTTTTTTATTTCCTTAATTTTAACAAATAGTACTATTTAGAGCATCAAAATGTTGGTAATGTCAAATTACTTTGTATATAAAGAACATTAAAATAAATGAGTTTTTCATAATCATTTTCCAGTGTGGTATCAGCTACGTAGCAAGTGAACATGCAGATTTTCCCCAGTAGTCTGTTAGTGAATTTTAGTATCGAATTTAAAAGCAGGGTGATGCTAAAAAAGCTTGCAAGACAGAAGTAGAGGAGAATGGCAAGACCAGGACGGTTCAGGGAGCTGGCAGTTTTCACTACTTTTTTATTTTATTTAGCATCTTACGGTTGTGAGAAGGACCACACTTCAACTTTGAATAGACACATCCCTACACTGTAAAATCCCCACTTTCACAATGCTGCTCCACTTGCTGGCAAGAGCAGTCTGAAGGCTGGCACAGGTAGTTCAAACGAGAAACTCCAAAGTTCAGCAACAGAAAGGCTCCTACTCATTTTCACATGTTATGAAAAGCAGAACATACCAGAGAGCAAGGGGGAACAGTGATTTACTACCTGTGCTGATGAGCATGGCAACCAAAGCAAAACACTGGTCTCCCAAAAGACAGATCCATTGCATATGTCCAAAAGAGGAATCCACTGGAAATACCCACAACAGCCGCTCTGTCTACAGAGGGAAATGCTAGATATTTTACCTGCAGTCTATACACACATACATTTAACTTAATGCATCCTCACACTGGCCGCTTACACAGAATTCTGCTTGCAAACTACAGAAAAATCAGTAACAATGCCAACATTTAGGTTTTCAGAAGGTAAGAATACAGAAGGAAACTTGTCTTTTGTACTGATACACAGTAATTCAGGACCTAGTTTTAGCTAAATGCACAGAATCATGGCCACAGGGTTGTGCAAGATCAAGTTCACCGCTACCTATTTTAACCACATTTTCATGATAGAGTTTAAATTTGTATTAGAATTTTAAAAAGAAAAAGGTCCTTCAAGAAAGAACTTTAAGGAATCCAACTTCTTTCTCTTTCGAATTATTTAAACATCATTCAAAGAGAGGGGGATCTGGCAAAAGGACCTGGTTTATCTTGTTTACTTGTAGAAGAGTTATTGAGGAAGATAAGTGACCACTTTGAAGATGTGCCTCATTTCTGCTCCAGTTTGCTGAGAGCACGCTTGGCTATAGGTTGCTATGTGTTTCCAATCAGAAGTTGTTAAGTACACAAAATAAGGCTGGATTTTATTTGCAGAAGCACATGTTCAAAGGTTAAAATTTATTGCTCCAAAAGCAATATCTATAAACCAGGGCAATACCTTAGAGATTATTAACCTTCTAGTTACACCAGTGGCTGGTTTAAGGTGTTCATTTTATTTCTTTTTTAACTTACCAGCAATCTGTTCAACTAATTATTTTCAATGTGTTTTAATGCTTCAAAGAGTTGATCACCAAAACCAAAAGAAAAATATTTTATTGTATTGTGTATAATTAAAAATAAGATGTAAAATCGGAGCCAAATCAACTGACGTTAGTTTGGTCCAATATCATTGAGTCAGGAAATACTGGTACTGGTCCTTAGAGTAAAACTTACTTTCTTCCTGACTTTGGGTATATCATATAACCTATCACTTTTGATCACATCTAAAACCTAGGGACACTAAAGCAGAGTTGCTGTGGAGATTGATTGGTTGTTAGCAAAGTGCCTTGAAGAAGAAAAGCATACCTTAGACAACATCACAAGAGTATCTAAGCCCTTAATCCTAATTGTGATTAGAAGAATGATCAAGGTATATCCAATTTTCAGAGGAGTTCACTAACCTTTAAACCCCACTACCCAGCAAGAACTGTGATCTATGTGGTAAAAAAAGATCAAGAAGGGCACAGCAAATTGGACCTTCTATAAAAACTTAACGCAACTGAGAGTCACAATTGAAAGTAACATTTCTAAACCAAAAAAATTCAAATACACAGCAACTGCAATTGCTATGGGGTTATGTAATCATTAATATACATATGAGAGAGAACCAGGCATGTGCTACCTTTTCCCCAAGGAGCTGATTCAAAGAGATTCATTCTGGATGTTACCATAAAAATTAAAGAGCATACTCCTAGTTTAGCACCCTTACTGAGGCTGCTGGTGCAGTATAGGCTTACTCCAACACAAGCTGACATGCCCCTGCAAACGACTTACACAGCCTGTCACATTTTGGACTGGCCCTCGATGATAATAGTTGGACACTATATTGTGCAAACCTCACTAGGTAAAGGAACAGGCATAGGCTTTAGGATGAAAATGTTTGCAAGCTCTTTTCATTCTCAAAAAGCGCTAATACTTCCTTGTGCATTTTGTAACAAACTCTCTTCTAAGAGGTATCACAATAAATGGAGAGGCTTCATTAAGATACCCCCTGCACGTTCTTGGTCTTCTGAGTCCCAGTAAATTACAATCACTTTAAGGCAGGACATATACAGACAATAATCTCTCGTCTGGGAGTATGAACAAAGAGTTAATTATGTACAACAGAAATGCCAGTCTACCAGGAATATAACCCATGCCTATGGCGAGGATGGCAAACAGTAAAGGCAGTCAATTCCTTTGTTGCCTCATGAAAGACTGCAGCAAAGAACACCTCAGACTCAAAGTGAGCACCCCATAATGCCATCTAGACGGACTCTGCTCAGCAAGAGCTACAGTTAAGTGGGAGCCCTGTGCTACATGACTCGGGAAGGAAACCAAAGAAATGTCAATAGAGGATCTGCTGTTCATTTTCCTGATGCTGCCAAGAAGAATCGATTTAACCTGGAGTTCACATGCAGGCTCTGTGACTCTAATAGCTCTGGTGCTTCAGCGGTAAGATGCACTCTTATTTTGTACTGATTTTGTAACAGACTACTTTATTTAGATTTCGGAATAGTAAGACCCTTCTTTAGCTCCAGACAATTATTTCCTGGCAAATGCAACATTGGGGCAGATTATACATGAAATCTATTTTTGCTATGTTTAATAAAATGCAAAAATTACCATAAAGAAATGAACAGTTTGTCATTGTTAGCAGCAGTTAGAAAACTAGTAGAGGAACAGACAGAAGGGTAAATTCAAACCTCATACTTCCAACAAATCACTTTTCATCATTTTTCAAAAGGATTTAATAGCAAAAATTTCAGAGCACAAAACTAAAATGAAAGCACTGAGGAAAGCTTCCCTTACAACTGACATTTTTACTTCTACTGTTTATCTCTTATGAAAAACAAATACACATTAGGGATAAAACACAGTGGCAAACTGAAACTTGTGATATCTCCCTTCCTCTTTTTCCCCAGAAGAGTTCAGTCCAGCAAATGAGAATGTTTCAGCAGCATCACTCACTGAGCTCTCTGGGCTGTGCCACATCTGTCAGTACAGGTATCATTTAGCACGTACTTGCATTTCAAGCCCTGAAAACGAGACCTAACTCAGGTGTCTGCAACACCAGGGTGCCCCATATTAAACCAGCCTCATTAAAAGAGGGTAAATACAATTTTTGGAAGCTGTAACCCCATCTTCCTGCCTTCATGACTAGCTGCATTTTACTTCCAGCAGAACTGGCCTCAGTTGACAGCATGCCACGTACTGACTGCCCCTTCCTCAACATTTATACAGCTAACTAGGAATTTTAGGAGGAATGGGTAGGCACGGAAAGCCCAGCTTGAAAAAGACTCAGTAACATCTCCAAGATACTGCAAACAACTAGCAATACACAGCTCACTAACAAAGTCCTTAGCTAGCTGTTCCACTGAAATTCCAAGCATGCAGTTCTAAAGGCATGGGCAAGAAGCATTCCTAAGCTTGATGTTACTGATGTGCAATTAGAGTGGTCATCTGGAGGCAGGAAAACAAACACCTATTCCTATCACCTTACCCAGAATAGAACACACTAAGCTTACCTGCCTTTTCACCTCACAGACAAAAGTCCAAACAGATTTCATATCATTTTCGAGCTTCAAAGATGGGGCAGATTTATTTCTTCTTATCTCCATATAAAAGCAAGAGTAACTTTATGAGTAAGGGTTCCTAATAAAAACTATCACAGGTTTAACACCTTTAATATAAGTTCCTGTGTACAGGCCAGTTCTAATCTACTAGTAGTCCCTGAAATAGCAGTTGTAATAGCTGTCATTAAAACATTTCATTGCACATTGTGATTCCATCATTATTAGCCGGTTTGGAAATGCTCTTTAGATCAGCACATGTACGTAGTGCACCATCTACACTGCCTGTACAAGCAAAACTTCAATACTGGCTATCACCAGGCTTATTATTACTGCTAGATTTTCATCAAACACTGTTAGAAAATGAGAAATTTTCTTCCCAATGATCTCAAACTACGTTTAATTTTACACACAGACAACTTCACATCAACAAATCATAACCTTGGAGTTCAGTTATTCTGGCAATCTATCTCTGAAATATGCCAAAAAGCACAGCACTCTTGCTGCTGATACCACACAGATCTTTCCTGTCCTATCTTTATCACCACTGCAGAAAGTGGTGTAAGTACAAACTCCCATATGGATGAGAGTTTGGGATGTCTAGCCTACTACCTTTTACCCCACCAACAGCAATGGTTACTCAAGGTGTTCCTTGAATTACAGTGTAAGTTACCACTACACACTGAAGATGCAGTGTTTTGGTAGCTCTGAAGCTACTAATGTGGGGGATGAAAAGACATAAACATGGCCAAGAAATGATTGTTTTGAAGGCAGATTCAGATGAACCATCAGTAAGCTCTCAAAAAATACCAACCTCAAAATTTTGGTAGCCTCAAGCTACTATACTACACAAGAAGGTATTGTTCCTTTTTAATATATCCACATGGTTCTGTTACACAATACGGGAGGCCTAAGAGTCAAGATGCAGATCATTTGAATGTTATTCCATTTCAGTTATCTTATACTCACTCTGGTGTTAAAAATCTGCAGTCCTGCCCAGTAATCTTATCCTGCTATGTAAATCTTTTTAAACAAAAAGCCTTACTCAGAGCTTACTATTGTTAGCTGGTATCAAATCTGTGTAGCAATTCGCCATCGGCGTATCTTGATCTAATTACATTCTGGAAAGAACTGAAATAGATCTAAAGAAAATTCAGATAATGGAACAGGCAAAACAAGAAAGGGAAAGGAGGAGCATAAACAGAAGATAAAAGAAGAACAGAATAAAAGATAAAGCTCTGAGATACAAAAAATAGGATTAGGTGATACTGAAATTGTGGGGGGTATGCGCTGAGGCATCCCATAATGAAAGAGGAAGATCAGGGACTGAAAATGTTTCCATCATGTAATGCATTCTATGACATTCAATGAGATGTGAAAACCATATTCTTAGCTGTCAAACATGTCCAATCTGAAATCCACGAGCAACCAATGTGCATCTGTACTGTGTCAATGGACTTCAGATACAGCCAATGGAGACAAAACTTCACCCTCTTATGGATGTGTCTGTGACTGACAGCTCTGCATACCTGTTAATGAAACAGAATTAATGAAAAAGAATTTAACTACTGGCATAATGCCCATGAATAGACAGAAATTCCAAGGTGTATTACAATTCCTTCTCTTTCAAGATTAAAGGAACAAGAGTCTCTTCTGATTTTTTTTAATGTCTATATTCGTAAGGGTACGTCAATCACAGAAGGCCCTGTGCCATGATGCAGCTTTCCTCAACATTCTCAGGATCCCAAGGATTAATAAAGAAACCTGTAAATATGGCAAAATGAATTAACAAGATTTTGCCATTTTACTTCTCAGTAATTTTTTTTTTCCTCAAAAAATGCCTCCAAACTCAGAACAGAAATATCCTTCCCGTCTTTAAGTACACACTTAGAATCCTTTAGTGCTGGAATTAGAAGGGATGTGTGAATATAAGTAGTGTCAGAACACAAAGCATACTGAATGAAAACCCACACCTTTGAAAAGGGAAGCAACTCATTGTAATTTGCACCTCTTTTGCAAGCATACCCCTTGACAAATAGCTCATTGCAAAGAAATCCATCCGGGATAAAAATATATCAAATTCACTCTACAATTGTATCTGGACAACCATATATAGAGACAATTCTCAAGCCATAAGCATGGTTTAGTTCTCCCATAGTAATATCCAGCTCCTCGTAACAACATATAAATGCAGCTTCAGAATGATTTTTCTCAGTGGAAACACTTGCACTGACCTACACAGTACCCATGCATGAGGCATGTACTGGAGAAGCATCGAGGCAGTTCTGAGCCACTAAGGTGGCAACCCAGACATTTCCCCTTGCTGATTTCACCTACCTGAGCTGCCGCTGCTATAGCAGACAACTATACAACAGCTCCAGAGGAAGGAACCCAGCCTCTCAAGGAGATTATTTTGAAACAGAAGCCAACAATACTACTGGGCGTAATCAAAGGTTTTTTTCACTATTCTTTACAGTCATTTTCTTTGTACATCTGGAACCACCTCTGTTAGGAAGATTTATTGTCTGCTTTTTAAAATCTATCAGTTTGCAACAGCCACCAGATGAAGGGATCTCTTTAAATCACTTTCTATGCGCAAACATGTGCATTACAGTTAAAGCCTTAATTTCTCCAACTTACAAACACCAAAAATGAGGGGGAAATTTTGGAGGCAGTTATACTCAAGGCATGCTGTTTACAAGGTGCTCTGTATTCTGAAGTTACTGACTTATAATTATTCAAATTGTCTGTGTCCTTTAAGTAAAAATTAGGGGTTCTTTTAGTATCTGAGAAATAAAGTAACAGATTTACTTGCTGATCAGTAACACATCACAGAATAAAGGTTTCAGCCAAGAATCATTTGAACACCAAACATTTCCATCATACTTACTTTAAAAGGGTCTATTTTCTATTTTACAAGTACAAGCAACTGTTGCATCATCCTACAGTACTGGAATTGCTGTTGAATATCAGGAAAGGGTAACAGGGCAGATAAAAGTTCTCTAAAAGAGAAAGCACCAGAACTAGCAGAAAGGTGGGGTTGGGCAGCCCTTCATTTGAATGTAAATGTAATTATGAGGCAGGCAGTTAGGCTGACGTCAGGCAAGATCTTGGTAAACCATTACCACCAGCACCTGGTGACACAGTTGATAATAAAAGAGGATGAAGTAGAAGATTCCAAGCAGAGTGGCATTATTAAAGAAAACCAAACACAATTCTATTGAAGCAGCAAAAGAAAATAAGGAAGAGCAAAATGTTGTGACAACGTATTTACGACCTGTGACAACCATGTATGTGAGCTCTCTCTTGGATAAGGAGAACAGCATGTATCCAGGAACTGCAAGGAGTAACAACAACCTGCCAGTGCAAAACTTTGTGTCTACTCCATCCTATCCAGATTACATGGGATACCATCATGTGCCAGCTCTGGACACCCACAGCCAGCCTGCGGGAACCTGGGGATCCCACTACGGCCCACAGAGGGAGGACTGGAACGCTTATGGCCCAGGACCTTCCAGCACGGTTGCTGCTGCTCAGATCAACAGCTTGTCTCCTGGACAGGTCTCCTACACTTCTGCTGATTACAGCTCCCTCCATCCTGCTGGACCTGGGGGGTTACCTCCTGTAGATACAATTAATACACAGCAAATCTCCCCCAACAGCCAAAGGCATAGCTCTTATGAATGGATGAGGAAAACAGTGCAAACTAATACTACTGGTAAGTGCACACTCAACTTTCAACCTGAGAAAGCATCTTCTGCTATCACTGATCTTATGAATAATTAACTTTACTCAAAGCACATAGGTTCATTTATGACAGTTATTTAACCTCCTGCTGTTTAATGCAGTTTTAACTAAATTTGCGCTAGTTTCACTTTCATCCTATAAAAGGCTTCACACGGTTACTGCTGTGGAATGGCTCTTGTGTTTAGACAGAACTGCACCTCCCTCATATATATTTGTTGTACCTTTCTGTAAAGCTTTTTGGATGAAAACCACAGTTTTGAGACTACTACAAAACAGTGAATGAAGCAACACTGAACAGTTACACACAAAAATACTATGTAATGATTTTGTGCCACAAGGTAGATCTCAATATATAATCAGCTTAATCTTTACATACTTCTCAGTCTTTTAAAGGAAATTATGTGCTCTGATCCAGCTGCAGTGATTATGCAGTTTTCTGCCATTATTCCTGCATCTTATTTTTCTACCTTGCTTTACCAGGTGGGAAGAAATATTCCTAGAGCAGTAATCTGACTTGAATGATCAGCGTGTACTATTCTGTTTGCAGACCATATATCTCATCAGTTAAACTTCCTTTGCATTTAGTTTCAAATCGGTTTGAATGTATTTTTCTCACGTAGCAGAATGTTGCAGCTTGCTAAAATTCCACAATTAAAAATCACTTTCTTGCAAGTGTCACTCACTGAAGCGCCTGATTTTGTCACAAGCTGCCGGCCAGATGAACCTTTCCATGTATATTCCCAAGGTGTAAACTGGGTGTAGCAAGGATTGCTACATCTATTGTTAAGGTTAAAAGTCATAAGTGTGTGTTAGAGAGCATCAAAGGAAAGGCTCTAAAAAAAGAAGAGCAATTACAATTGGAGCAATCTTAGGAGACAGAAAATCAGCTCTGCTGCTTGAGACAAGTGGTTATGCTCCAGAGCAAAATCAATCCGGGAACTGTTTCTTACAGTTCCACCCTGTTTTCCCACAGTTACTATATAGAAAATGCCTAGTGAAGGTTAAGATACCACAGTGTCATCCTTCCACCCCAAGCCTCTACAAAGGTCTTCAAAGTCAGGTAGATTTATAGTTTCTTCCCCCCCCCCCCCTTATGTATACTCATGTAAATCAGCAGTTAATTCATTAACATCGTTGTAGATTTCCAGGTGTAGAAGTGATGCAAGACCTGAGCATAGACCAAATTCAATTAAGACTAGTGAATGTCAATGAGTCATACTGTCACTGCATTTACTATGTCTTAACATTCCTGAAGAATAACACAGACTTCAAAATTCAAATCCTAATTTTACACTTACTGCACAGATATGGAAAACCCCAAAAAGTTTCTCACACACTTGTTCAATTTCATAAAATACATCTGCAGTTTAGAAAAGCAATTACGTGCTTAAATTCATCACTAGTCTGAAAAGCATTTACAAACATGCCAAAATACTTTATGGACAATACAGCACAGGTGAAACTGCCTATCAACAGATCCATGTCCTGAGGCTGCACATTCCTCCAGCCCTTTCTTTGAAGTGTGAAAACCAGCTCAGGACTTCACAGAACTGGGCTCAAGATATCAACCCAGCTTAAAAAAAAAGGGTTTGGGAGGTTAAAGCATGAAGGTGGCATTTTGCAAAGCAAGAAAATTTCACTTTTCATTGGTGTTTTAATGTTCACCACAAAAAAAATGGGAAATTTTAACAGAGACACACAAAAAGTTATGAAAAATGAAATTAAAAACTAACAAGGCTAAACTTATTGATGCTTCTTTAGAAGATAATGTAAGAACAATGACTTGCTGCCATTATAACTGCTCTTTGAAACAGACTTGCTCTGGTTTGCCCTATTGCCATACATTATTCATGATATCCAAGTGGCTGCTGGCTGCTTAATACAGTCATTGCTCCAAAATTCTGTAATTACCACCCTAAACTTTACAGTATATTTATATCCATAAATCTGTGTATACCTTTAACTTCACTAGTGGCATGTACTCCCATAAATGTATGTGAGCAGCATGGAATAACAGAAATCCAAACACATGTAATTAAATGAGGGAGCCTACAAAAATACTGTCCTAAAGACCATGGGGATTATTTCTGGGGAGAAGATGTTAAATGAGAATTTTTCCCTCCTCTAGTTAGACTCCATTAAATATGCCACATTCTTACTCAATATTCACATTTAGCATTTTATACACAAAATTAAATTGCAGAAAAAGTGAACTGGAAATTTACCTGACACAGTCAATTTCCAGGATGAAACAACATCACAAACACAGAAGTACTATATCCTCTCAACAGATAAAAATCCTTTTACTAAAAGGACTGTAGCTGTATATTCAGAACCAAAGCTTTTATAACTTCAAATACACAGACACTGCAAACAGATGATGCAATAACAAATTTTAAAACACAAACATCAAAAGTGGGCTCGGTAAAGGCACCTTCCCAGACAGGCTCTCAAAATGGGACAAAGAACTTCCACAGAATTCCTTACAGTCTGATCCTGGTTTTAAGAAAAATCAATGAAAAATGCCCTGTCAACTTATGTAAGAGCAGAACTTCAGACCAATTCATTTCTAAACCCGATGTAATCAACAGTGTAAAATACGTATTTCATGAGAGCAAGTGAGCTTTCAGAATGTGAAACTTACTGAAAAGAAGGTACCTAAACAAGGACCTAGAAAACAGATTTTATATCTTTTAAAATTTCACATGAAACTTCATTTGAGAATGACCCTTTTCAGAATGGGAATGGACTTGGAGGGGACTAAACAAAAGGACAATGTAATTTTTATATTCAACTATAGCCAGCACATTTTGCGTTGTTGCTTAAGCCAGCAGTGATGTACATGTACTGCAGATTACATCACAGCAGAAGCAGAGCCAGAAAGCAAAACAGGAAAGCAGGAAAAAAGGCCAGGCCTCTGCTCTAATGCTAATTTATTTTGCTTTGTAAACTAGTTGTGACATCTCTTTTCCACTGGCCTACATTGTCTGAGGTTTTGAGGCCTATCTGTCATATTGAAGCAACAGACCCTTTTAACACTTCGCTTTGCTTTGATATGCAGTCTTGTCTCTTCCTTCTCCCTCTTTTCTTCAGGAGTTATATTGCCGGAAAGGGTGATGATTTTCACAGCAAATAAAGAGGCCTTCTCCCAGCTTTATTGTCTTCAGAAGAAATGCTCTGAATTTTATGACCAAGGGGAATGGGGAAAACTACTCCTTTTCTCCACCCCCTCAAATCATGGTTATATTTGCTGATTATAGTGAAGCCGGAATAACCCTGTTGAATTTTAACTTGTTTTCAAAGCTTCCCTCCTCAGAATTCAGTTTACAAGGAACCTGAATATCTCTACTATTGTTAACACTAGAACTATGACTTTGAGTAAATATTTCAAAGCCAACAGTTTGTATCTTGAAAAAAAAAAAACAACCCAACTTAGTTTGATGATTGGTTTAGTCCTGTGAATTGAAGCAGGAAAACTTTGTACACTAGAGGTCAAAGTGACAGAGGATTTGGGAAAACATCTTTATGTGCATTTCAGAATGTCTTCAGCTGTGTCTACCTCTAGACTTCAGCTAAAAATATCCCAGTCTATCCTCAGTGTTGGTCCAAAATATGAGAACTGAGGAAAAAATATTCCTTCATCTATTCCTGTCCTTTTTTCCTCTGCTAAGATGAAAGAGTCTGACATTTGTTTAGGGCTTGTAAATTCCAAGCCAATTGGCTTGTGTTTCTGAATGTGAAAGGGGTTTTTGATAAGATCTCCTTGTCGCTCCTTTGTGTGGCGTGTGCTTCATCTTAACACCTCAATAGATTTTAGGGAACCACTTTAAAGGAGTCTTTGTCCTACAGTTTGTCCCAGAAAACTCACATCAAAAAAAACCCGGGAAGATCAGAAGAGAAAGGAAAATTTTCTATTTGGCTGCTGAAAGTGCAAAAGAGAACAAATAAGTTGAGAAGTGATCTCTCTGTATTACTACACAAAGAACTGTTTAACAAAGTCAGTGGAATGAGAGATACCTTCTAAACATCTACTAATGTTTCTCTTAACACTATTTATCCACTACATGTAAGAATATTTCTTTTACACATTAGAGAGGAGGCGATACTGAAATCCTTTTACAAGTATTTTATTGCCTCGTCTTACAAATTGCCAAGTGCCTACAACTCTAAAGGGAAGCTCAGGACACAGAGCAGGCCAGTCACACCTCCACAGGCACTCAGCATCCTGCAAGACTCAACCTTTCCAAAGAAATAAATTCAAATTACTATTAGACTTCTAAGCATGCCCTGTGGCCACACAAGAAAGCAAAGGCATTTCTAATAGGACCCTTCTTTGTGCTAGAGAGATGATCTCTAAGAACTCAAAGAAAGAATCAGGACACAGTACAACTAAAGAAATTGTGACTGAACTTCAGTCTCGAAATCCTGTGCTTATGCCTGCCTATAAACAAAGTCACTTCAGTAAGCACGGAAATTAAACCCCCCTGAGATCAAATATAGCCAGCACCAATTATGTAGTGCTATGAATTATTGAAGATGCTTCAGGGTGTGTTTCACTTGAGCTTTACATTTAAATGTATGTTTACAGAGAGAGCAAGATAAAGAGGGACAGTTACGATAACCAATATTCACTCGTTCGCCCTGCACCTTGTGTTTTACCTCTGTAACACAGAAAACAATCCCAGGCAAGAATTCTGTAGTCTGTAAAATGTTTGAGATGTTTGAAAGAAAAATGCTACAGAAAAATCCAATTCAACATATTAATAATATTTCTTTCCTAAACAGGTAAAACAAGAACAAAAGAAAAGTACCGAGTTGTTTACACAGATCATCAGAGACTAGAATTAGAGAAGGAATTTCACTGCAACAGATATATTACGATAAGGAGAAAGTCAGAACTGGCAGCAAATCTGGGACTATCTGAAAGACAGGTACACAGAGACTCGTGTGCTCCCATTCCCCAAACGCTGCTGCTGCCAGGGGCTGGAGCAGCATTCCCATTCTGTATCCAAAAGCAGTGCGAAGGCAACCAGGATATATTCTGAGTACACTGGAGACACAGAGAATACACTATTACAAAGACAAATTAACAAACAGGCTGATTTGACAGAAACCTCCAGTTATGAGTAACTAAAGATCAGGAACTCATTTATACTGGAAGAAATCCTTATGTACACAGCAGCTTGCTACACAACTAGAATAGTTATAACTTCACTTCTTGCACTCACACAAAATGGTGGCCAGAAAAAAAACTCAAAGCATGGAATGTATTTCAGCTGTAAGCCAGAAAAATGCAAACCCAGCATTCAAAGAGCTATCTCTGCAATTTCTGTCACAAATTTCTCAAAATCATTTCCACAGGCCACATTCCTCAGTCAAGCAGATTTCAGCACATTTTAAGGAGGTTTTGCCACCTTTGATATTCAAGTCAGGATCTCTTTTCTGCTATTATGTTCATAGGGTCTTCACCTACAGTAGTAGTTCACAACGACCACATATGCAGGATGCTTTAGTCTCTAAAACTTGGTGCCAAATATTTATGCTTATTGTATACATACATGTAGCCAGGACTACCCATTCAGGAAACTTCCAAGTGCATCTATTGCTTCTTTGGACAGCAGCTTTGCATTCATTCACATCAAGCACATATTTAAGCTCTGTCCTTAACACAGCTTCCTGAGCAGGGGCCCAGGTGTCTTAGCTATACAAAGACTAGAGGGATTCAGGATAAAGAATTTCCTAAAATCACTGTGTTTGAGAGCACACAGATCTGTAGTCTGCAAAGATAGTTACTGGTGAATTCAACCTTCCTTATGCAACAGAATTGCAATGGTTTTGCTACAGCTGGAGAATAAGGGAAGATTTGGCAATACTGAATAAAGCATCTCCCACCTTAGCAACCACATTTATTGCCCCCAGGTAAATTTTAAGAAGAGATCTTTCTGTTTAGAACTTTACAAACTTCTGCTCTTTCTCAGTATACTGAATATATATATATAAATATATTCAGTTCTCTAAAATATTCCCTCTTCCAGCGGCCTCAACTTCTGCATTCAGTCTGTGCAAGAGCACGGAACAGAAAGGGACCAATTGAGGCTAGAAGTGTAAGGATGCATAGATAAGCAATGAAGCACCGGATTCTTATCACCATTGTAGTGCAATGATGCTCAATCTCAGACCTGAATCGTATATAGTTTATATTCCACAGACGGAAGTGGCCCCAGAAAGTAACTCTGGAGAACAAGTCTGCTGGTGATGGGCTGCATTTTGTTACACATTACAATAGAGCTGCATTGGAAAATTCTCAGAGAACTGCAGTTATGAAAGATTCCAAACCTCTACACAAGCTGGCTGATTTAGAACACAGGCACTCCTGGAAGAGCCAGTGATACTGCATAAAATCAGCACTTTGCTTTCACATAGTTATTGCTCTTAAAGCCATCCAATTTCTGACTGCAAATTCCCTTAAAGTATAATGTAGACAAAATAGATAATCTGGCTGCATTTCTACAAGACTCATGACCAAGCTAAAAGTTTCTTACTGTCATTATCAGTAAGTTAATAAAACAGTATCTAGAAAATAATCATGAAATTTTTAATACAAAGCAATGCTACAACCTTCTGTATCGTATTGTATTCAGCGCATTTTAAAGGATGTAACAAAAAAAGTAAAGTAACACAAAAAATGATAATGAGGAAAACATAAGCAGTGTTTCTATCCCTTTACACTTTTGCACAAGGAAAGAAGATAGAGATACTTAAACTAAAAGTCTGAACAGAGAGAAAAGTTTAAACTCTTCATCAGGGACTGCAGCGCAGGACAAGGGGTGATGGGTTTAAACTTAAACAGGGGAAGTTTAGGTTGGATATAAGGAAGACGTTGTTTACTGTGAGGGTGGTGAGGCACTGTAGCAGATTGCCCAAAGAAGTGGTAAATATGAGTCTAAGTAAGTTGATTCCTACGTTCCTAAACATAACACAGCAAGTTCACTTTACACCAGGTCTAAGAAAATCACTTTACACTAAGAAAAAAAGTCATTTCCTATTGATTATGATGCAGAAAATTCACAGGGAGTAACTAAAAAACATTTTGCTGCACAAATCCAGTGTTTTGTTTGGTGGCTTTTTGGGTTTGGTGGTTTGGTTTAGTTTTTTGGGGGGTTTATGTGGTTTTGTGGGAATTCTTTGTAGTTTTTGCTGTTTTCTTTGTTTGGGTTTCTTGGGTTTTCTTTCTTGCTTTTGTAATTTTAACATATCTATATTTTCACCGCTATTATTACTATAAAAAGTTGACCACTGCTTTGAACTAATGGAGTATCATTTGTAACAACACAGGTGAAAATCTGGTTCCAGAACCGCCGGGCGAAAGAAAGAAAACTGATCAAGAAGAAAATCTCTCAGTTTGATGGCAGTGGGGGCTCAGCTCAGAGTGACTCTGGGTCACTCAGTCCAAATGAAATATCCAGTTCTCTGTTTCCACCACCACATGGAATAAATGGATTACAGCCTAATGGCATTCACCAGGTCATAGTTTCAGAATGAACAGAAGGATTCTCCCATCAACCCCCACCCAGCTTTCCAAGAGGCTATTCTCATGTGATTGTCTTCAGAGTGCTGATTTCTAAGTACAGGATCTGGGACTAGTATCAAAATGTTTTAATTATTGCAGAAATCTCAGGGAACTTGTGCTGCTAAGATTCACCACTTAAAATCCTTGAGGAGGAGGCAATTTCCTTCAGACACTGACCCAAAAATGATGCAACTGAAGATTCAAGTAAACGTAGTTATCATCTGATCATGTATACACAGAAAACTAAGTGAACTGATTACAAAATAGAGTACTATTGCATAAGATAGAAGATGCTGGGTGTATGTGATTTGTTACATGTTATGTAATTAAACCGTAGATGTTAATTAATATTCACACTTAGGTGTACTGAGAAAATGCTACTTTTGAAAACAACAGAAACATTCTAAACACAACAGTGTTGCTGTACCAACACTTTGCATTTAATGAAATGAAACAAATCGACACAGAAGAATGGCAAGTAAAGAACTGTAACATACAACACCTTATTCATTAGATTTGTACACTAGAAACGCATGACTTAACTTAAAATTTCTCTTCTAATTTATGCCAAAATTGAAATAAAAAGCTTATATGATTATTTACCAGGTTTCCATTCAACATACTTAGTATTACCACCTGGCAGTGTCTAAGCAAGTTCCACTCTGTCTTCTTCACCTGCTAGGCCGGTAGGAAACACCATGCTGTTCTGAGCCACTGAAGCCACTGACTGTACTTCAAAACCACCACAGTTCATAAAGGAAACATTTTAAATGAGACTACTATAGGTGTCAGATGGGATACAAAGCACCTCCTATGATATGTTTAAAATCCGTGTTGCCAATAAAAGTGCTTCCCTTTTTTATTATCTTCACCCTGAATTTTGTCCATCAGGTTTATCTTAAATGTATTCAAAGTATGTATTAATAACTATTTGGAGGAGACAGTCTCTTTCATGCACTAAGTAATGATCTCTAAGCTTAAAAACTGTATCAGATTATCTTCTCTGGCTACTGCTAAGTCAAATAAAAAGGTATTCCCCCTATTTTGTACCATGCATAACTACCCCCTATCAAGATCACAATGTCCCTTTAAATCTAAGGGCAGCAGCATAACTGTTTCTCAAAATAATCCAATTTAATAATCCCAATTATTAAATTCTTTTAGACTAGCCAGGATATTTTTTATTAAACTTGATTACAGAACTATTAAACATGCAGTCATATCACCACATTAGGAGGATGGTAAGCCATAAAGAAGGGAAACAGGCAAGCAGCTGAAAGAAAAAAAATCCTTACTGTGTCTCTGACAGGTTTGGACAGTATGTGATTGTAGCCTACACCATTACATTTTTGCCAAAAAATGTCATCCCGAATCAAAACATGGTTCAGAACAACACGCTGGTACATTTCAATGCCCTTTAAAGACTACACAACAGCCTGACAGAGTCTATCCTACATTCATACTCCCAAGATCAGCATGGGAGCTCAAAGAACAGGATATGTGCTGGGTGGAGGCAACTCAACCATTACCAAGTCCCTCCATGGCTATTATTTTCTGGGCAGCTGTGTTTGACTCTCCTACATTGCTTATGTAAAAGAGCTTCAGAAGATGTGATCCAGCCCTTGTATTTAATTTTTGTATTTAAGTGGGTGTGAAGAAACACTAAAGGCTGTAAGTAACATTTCCCAGTATTTATCTTTCTTCCTTTGAAGACTTCTCCAGGACTTTAGCTACACTCTCCTTTAGCACCTACTAAAATAATAATGAATCAAACACAATCCTTCCCACCCAGTGGGTATCTTCCCCAGGCTCTCCGTTTCCTGCCTTTTCTACTTTATGTAAATAGAAAACCATCTCACTGTTTAAATTCAGCTGTTTGATTGGTATTTCGAGTTGCAAAGTAATGAGCCACTCCAACACCATGCTGATATCAAAAGAAAACTGTGCATCACACAACTGCCTAATGCCAGCAAATCCCTCCTGACATTTATTTGAATCATCTTTATTCTTATGAGAATCCTGCAGAAATGCCAAAGCTTTGGGAACAACTGCCTTTCTCAGGCCTAATGTCTATAAATACTTAATCAAGAAGGAACATTTTACTACAAACTGTCTGTGGTGACACTTAATGCAGCAGTTAATAAAGCAAAATCACGTGCTAACTTCTAAGTATTAATCTGTGAAAGAAAATAAAGAAAATTATAGATTTGTGTGTTACAGAAATGACAAGATAGTTTAGACTAGAAATGGGAAAGGACCTTATTATAAGATCTTTATAAAAATCATGATATACAGAGAAGAGAGCATAACAAACCCAACTGGCTGCTTGTAGCAGTAATAAGGGTCAAAAACCTGGATCAGAAACTTGACAACCTCTTGAAACTGATTTTGAGAATCAATCTGCCTCCACATTGAGAACTGTCAGTAAAAGCAGCAGAGAGCTGCAGACCCCTGCACACAGCCAAAAACCTTCCAGCCACTGCAAAATATCTGTATCACAAAAACAGTTTCACTAAACTTCTCACATCACCTGCAACTTTCCTTATCAAATGAACCTAGCCAAATATGCCTCATTAGTTACACATTTCTATTTCTAAACAAAAGAATGCAATGAGATGCTGGATGCACACAAAAAGGGAAAAAGAACTCTACTACTCACAGAAATTACCAGGGTCTTTTTCTCATAAAAAATTCCAGGATTTAGCAGGACCACCTATAAACTGGTTACAGATCCCAGTGAAAAGTTATGCTTTTATTTCCCACAGAGGAAACCATTAGGTAATGCCAACATTTTGGGAGAGATTTAAAAAAAAGCCTCAGGTACTTATCACTCAGTCATCTTGACATCTGGTTCATCATCTACATCCAACACAAAACACACCTTTATGTTCAGTCATGTGTAAAAGCCCTGTCCAGAGGGATGGCTGCAGCACAGCTATCTTGCACATTTTGTGCTGAATTATTTAATACACCTGCAGACCATTTTCAAGCTTTGCCTTCATGCAGTTCTGTATGCATTCTGCTACAGTTACTGCCTAGTGCCATGGCAAATTCTCCAGATGTGACTTGAGTTCTGTGCTCAGGAAGGACCACTTACTGCATCTGCTTCTCTCAGAAGAGAAGAAAGTGCAAAAATCAACTTGGAAGGCAATGTAAGTCTACAGCAGCCTCACACATGCAGGGCAGCCAAGAAAACAAAGCTTAACTGAGCAGGTTTGAAAGCAGCACTGAAAGTGCTTATTCACCAAAACACTTCTAAGCATAAACACAGATGTTCTGACATCATCACAGCTTAACTTGCTTCTGTGTCAAGTTAATCCCGATTCCAACTGAGGTAAGTTCGCCAAAGCTGCTCATGAGTCACACAGGTGGTAACAGTTCTTAGGAAAAATGCTCTTTTTACATGGTACAATGATTTTACATCAGTGGTAGCAACATGTACCAAGCAACACCTCATTATTAACCACTACATCCAACAGTTGATTTGTTGTACAAGTTTATCTCAGTCTTCCCAGAACTCTTCCCATTAGGAGCTAAAGAAAAAAGCAAACCAGGAAAAACTTCTTGAATCAGTACTGACCAAGAAACACAACAGTTTGCCCACCAGCCTTGAAATAACATTGTTCAGACTTCAAGAGTATATTCCTATCATACAACATCTCCCTTCATTGAAACATTAAAGGTCTGAAGAGTGAATTATGACAGCCAACATGACATCTCTTGCTGCATATTCTTCCTTTTGAATGACAGTGTGGTGGCTACTGATGCGGAACAAAGAAAGAAAAAATATATTGAAAGAAGCATTGGTATTTCTCAGGTCTACATTAGCAGCCACTTTTCCATGCTCTTGCAACATGGTTGTATTTATTACTGTACTTTGTTTTAACTCCTATCTTTCCTGAACTCTTATAGTGTTTCATGCTCTCTGTACGAGCATTTTTTATTCAATAAAGGAAGTGATTTGGGTGGATAAACATTGCCAGAGACCATCATCTCTCCAGAAATCATTCTAATAATTTTAACTAATAACAACCTAAAAGAAATATTAAAACTGAGGCGTATCAATATTTCTTCCTGTGAAGCCATAAAGTTTAATATACTGAAAACATTCTCTACAGTATTTACATCAAACTCAACACTAAGCAGCATTCTTCAAATACAGATATGGGCTACAAAAGCTATTTTTCTCAAATGGCCTATTTTTACTCAGTCATCATTCCTGTTAGGAGAGAGTACTCAAAAAAAATAGAACAAAAAAGTCTATTGAAACTTCAGCTGAACTTTGACTTCAACCTATTAATTAAATAGCATAAGCTGTTAAATATGAAGCTAGGATAGCAAAGTACCTTTTCAATTACAGAAACTTCATTTCTGGGTTTGCTAATACCTCAGACACTCATTATAAAGAGGTCACACAGCAGACTGTGCCAAAACTGCACTGCCTCTTTTGATGCTTCAGTTCAGGAAGTTATTTTGCTACGTGTTTCAGCACTGAAAGCTCACAGTTGAACTCCACCAACTGCTCACTCCTGCCTCAACAGCCGTTCAAGTGCCTGTAACATTAGGTTATTTATTAAATTAGAGCACCAGATGCATTATAATGTAGGCTTTGCAATTAAACATGCATGACCAATGCTGGATCTGTCATTGCTCACCACACCTTCCTCTACCACCTGCATCTCATCATTTACATATCAACATTAAAGCTGCAAATCCCTGCAGACAAGTAGCTGGGGTTTTATTTCACTTCACAGTAGACATATTGCTTGTCTCTCATTTTGTTTTATCCTTCTAGAATTCTCAGCAGTTATTCATTTGAAGAAAACAGAACCCATGTAAGGCACAGGAACCAGGCAAGGCTTTACAGACTCCAAGATGGGGTCCTAAGCACTGTAAAAAAATCTAGCACAAATCTTCTTCAAGGGCTCGATCCACATCTCAAGTCGGTGCAGAACCGCTTATCCCAGTGAGAGCTGGATCACACCAGCAGTGCACAG